ACTCCCAAATCCTCCGATTTCAACATAATTTTACATACACCTGTACCCCAGGGGATTATGGTTAATTACCCTCATCCTTCGTGGCTATGAAATTGTTTCATAACCACGCCCTACCTGCATCAAAGCATTTTCGTTTCCTTACCCTGATCGTTTCCATTAGATTCTGGGTTGTTAAACATTACTCCATAACTCACCCCATATAGAAAGGACCCTTATTAAAACAATGCCTCTTAAAAAGTATGTTTACCATTGTCAGTACATTAGAATGCCTTCCTGTGGATGAGAGGCCCTTTTAAATGGAATGATGGGGTAGACATTTACATGCAGTTTCTTTTTCCCCCTAAACCATGCAGACTATTCCAGTCTGAAGGACAGAGAGATTATTGTTTGCTGATCGCGACTGGTCTGATGCAATCTTGTTGAGGTCTACGTTGAGCAAATGTTGTCTCTTTCTTAAAAATCTAGGACAGTAGTTTAAACTCGTAGTCTGCTTTTCACCCCAACGTCTTGTGGAATATTATGTGTAAAATTACCAAACACCGATAACCTATGGATACATTTCACTCTCTCTTTAAGCATGATATTCGTCTGTCTCTAGGTAGTTTATTTCACTGCTACCTTCCCTTATGTGATACTGGTTATCCTGTTGATTCGTGGCCTGACGTTGCCTGGATCGGATATAGGGGAGTACTATATCGCCCCGCGCTGGGAGTACCTTGTTAAGCCTAAGGTGCAGTTTGACGTTTCATTTATCGTTCTGATTTTTTTTCTGCATTAAATGAATTTTTGAGGTTGACATCAGAATTTCTTGAAAAAAACCAAAAACAAAACGAGTTGAGGCTAGAGCTTTTCGCTGGTTTCACTCACGAACACGCCGGGTTATTGGACCACATGATTTTGATGACGTCACAGACTAGTGATGCAGAAGCCAATTCTTTTGTTACAGTTCTGTGCACAGAAAATCATCGTCCAGGAAAAAATATGAAAACATATCCAATGGTTGATTTTGATTGGTCACCTATGCACTTGATAATTGCTGCTGATCGAACTTGCCCCAAAATGAAAGAGCGCCGAATAACGTCCAAGAATACGATGCAGAAAACGTCACTTCAAGTCAATTTGAATACGTGCAACACAAACTACTTTAAGAAGATGTGACTCTTAAAGGTAGAACACACTTCCATTGTAGTCTTGTGACTTTCTAAGCAGCAACTGACGAAAACACCAGAGAACTAAAGAGAAGTGTTTGTAAACAAGTACAAACACAGAGCTGTTTCGGGACTGTTTTACCAACAAGATAAGTATTGTTGATCAAAGCTCTCAAACTAACCCAAATGCTGGCTTAAAAAGGTGTCCAAAGTCAAGGGGCTGAAATAAATATTGAAAAAACAAGAGTAAATCATATGACGACGTCATTTATTTACAATAATTTCTGTATCAAGATCTTTGTTGGTTGTCACTTTGAAAACGATCATACATCCGAAAGGGTT